AAGTACCTTAAGGGAACAGATCAATGTTGGACTATGGTATCCTGAAGGTGCGTCCCTTAAGCTTGTTGGATTTTCTCGATTCTGACTTTGCAGGATGTAGATTAGACAGAAAAAGTACCTCTGGTACTTGTCATTTACTGGGGAGCAGTCTTATATCGTGGCACAGCAAAAAGCAAGCGTGTGTTGCTCTGTCAACTGCAGAAGCTGAATATATTGCAGCTGGGAGCTGTTGTGCTCAAAGCATTTATCTCAAGCAACAACTAACAGATTATGGAGTGACTCTAAACAAGGTACCTCTGGTTTGTGACAATACTAGTGCAATAAACTTAACTAAGAATCCTATTCAACACTCTAGAACTAAGCATATTGAAATTAGACATCACTTTATTAGAGAACACGTATCTAGGGGTGACTGTGAGATTTTATTCGTTGAATCTGAAAAACAGTTAGCTGATTTATTCACTAAACCACTTCCTAGAGATAGACTTAATATGCTTAGGACTGAATTAGGAATTCTAGATATATCTAGTATTGCATAACTAATTCGTTACAGTGATTGTATTTTTTTTAACAGGTTGATAACAAGTTCAATCGATTAATAATTGCATGAATAACTGAATATTATTTGTTTCAATCGATTGAAACTGCGAAATAATCTGTTGATTTCCTGATTCTTACTCTCTGGTATTGATATGTTATTAGTTCAATCGATTAGATACGCTTTTAATCGATTTATTTCACTAACTCTGTAGCTCTGCAAATTTTCTTCTATAAATCAATCGATTAAATCTTCGATTCAATCGATTGAATTCACTAATGGTACTTTGCTTAATTTTCCTTTGCAAAAACAATTGATTTATTCATCAATTCAATTGGTTTATTTCACTTATGAATTTCTGCGAAGTGCGAAATCAATTGGTTACAGAAAAAAATCAATTGATTAATTGAAATTAAATGAATTGGCTCTGCACACAAGTAATTTCTGCAGATTAGGTTGAACTCATTTACAATGAGATAAAATCTCAACCACTTCCTTTAATACTGATTGACTCGATTGGATACATACTCGCGAAGGTAATTAAGTGTTTCTGTATCAAACTCTTCTCTCTCCATCTTTATCATCACCGTACAAGATCACAAAAAGACTAAAGACAAAATCCCGAAGTCAAACGATTTCGTATTCCTATTTCCTTAACTTGAACTCTTTCTTTCTCGGTTCCTCTCTGTTTTGCTCATCAAGCATGTTCAAACGATCGAAGTCTGGAAGAAAGAAATCAAGCAGGGGCGAGTCGTCTTCTGTTCGGCAGGAACAAAATGTTGAAGGAAGGATTGAGACTTGGTTCAACGGGGACCAAGAGCAAATGAATCTGTTTATTCATGAGTTGAGCAGAAAACAAGTCAACATACCAAAGCTGTTAAAGTTTTCCTGGTTTGATGCTCGAAGGATTTAGAGGCATCGGAAAGCTGCTGCAACATCAAAAGCTTCGAAGTTTCGGAGTTGGACGGTAGGATTTATCCCGACTTAATCAAAGTTTTCTTCACAAATTTGTCCTTTGAAGGTTCCACCTTGAAAACCCAAGTTAAAGGTGTGGACATTGAGATTACTCCTAACATCCGGAAGGAGGTTGCTTGGTTTAAAGGATTTAGGAGTGAAAGTCACCAAAGGGTGTACTTCGATGTGGAAGAATTTAATAAGGTTCAATATTTTCGGTCATGCATGAAGAATAGGCATGACTCTGTCAGCTCGTTCAATACTGGGAAACTAAAATTGGAAGAAAGGTTGCTTGCCTGCATTGTGTCTTGGCAGCTCACTCCGAGGGGGAGCAATCATGCGGTGCTAAATGAGGGAGATTTAGTACTAATGTATTGCATTCACCACAGGATTCGGGTGAACTGGGTTTTTGTCATCAAAGACCACATGATCAAGGCAAAAAGACTCAGTGATTTCAGGTACCCATATGCTATACTGATTTCCAAATTTTTAACATATTTTGGTGTTGATCTTGAAGGAGAACTTGTCGAGACAGTTCGTTCAACAAACGAAATAAATAACTCTATGCTTCACAAAATGGGATTTATGAAAGTTGATGGTGAGTGGGTCTCCAAGGAGGATGCTGGAAGAGATGAAGAAAGTGATGAAGATGGACAAGAGGAAGAAAATATCAACACTGATATTCCTGGCACTTCTGGAGCTCATCCATCTGATCCTATGGAAGAAGTGATCCCGCTGGAGATGATTCCATATAATCCACCCCCTGACCGTGGCACACCTCTGTCACAGTTTGAAAGAACAATGCTGCAGCAAATGAATCAACTTCAAGCTGATCAAAGGAGGCATATGAATATGACTACAGCTATAAGGGCTCGACAACACTATTTGGATGAGAATTTTATTGCAAGGTTCCAGCACATCGATAATCAACTTGAAGACATTTACAACAGGATTGTGGAACTGCAATTCAACCAAGGCCCCGGGGACGAATGAAGATTTTCTTTGTTTCTGTTATTCTGTTTTCTTTTCTTAGTTTTTAATGTTCTGCTTTTTATTTGGGGGTTCCCAAGTGGCCCCATTGGACTGTATCCATGACAACCTATTTGATGCAGTCAAATAGGGGGAGAATTATTTTGATTAAAACTGCCACTACACACACACCACATCACAAATTATATGTCTCTGGTTTGCATGTCTCTGGTCTGATTTTATGCAGGTGCAGTGGTTATTTGTCTCCATCAAATAGGGGGAGATTGAAGCACTTGGTGGACTTGGTGAATTTGATGAAGACTTAGATATAATTTGATGAAGACATAAATTTAGTTTAGGTTGTGGGTGTGTAGATGATTAGGTTTTTAACTTGAGCACTTAATCCCTTGATAGGCCATTATATGTTGTGATGAAGCGCCTTAATCTGCATAGCATTGAAAATCATTTTCTGCATTAAAAGAACAAACTAAGTTTTTCAATCTGTTGAAAAAGATTTTCAATCGGTTAAAATCACTTAACGAATAAGTGGTTCTATATAATTGTATTTTCAATTGATTGATTCGCAGAATCAACAAGTTAAAATAACTTAGTAAATTTCTCAATATGAAGGTTTCTGAAAAAACAATCAATTGAAATACTTTTTAATCTGTTGAAAAAGAAAGATATTTTTCAATCTAAGAGTTTTCGGAAAAACAATCAGTTGAAACGTTTTTCAATCTGTTAAAATAAAGATATTTTTTTAAGTCTAAGAGTTTTTAGAAAATCAATCTGTTGAAATATTTTTCAATCTGTTGAAACAGAGAGACTATTTTTTTAACTAAGTATTTGCAGGAATTTAATCTGTTGAAATGATTTTCAATCGATTGAAACAGAGTGCTGTCATTTTTCATTAAGTTGTTTTAATCCATTAAAACTCGAATCAATCGATTAAATGGAACTTTAAATGAAATCAATCGATTGAATCGATGTCTTAATCGATTAAAAGGAACTTTAAATGAAATCAATCGATTGAATCGATATTTTAATCGATTGAAATAATATTCTGATCGATCATAGTTTCATTTTAATCGATCATAACTCGGTCTGATCGATCATACTTCAGTTCTAATCGATCATAACTCGGTCTGATCGATCATACTTCAGTTCTAATCGATCAGAGTCTCTTCTAACCTGTTTTACTGCTAACCAACTTATCTTTTGACTCTCTAAAACAGTTTTTAACAAATGAAACGTTCTGTTTTTCTGATTTACTCTATATATACAGATTTGATCCATCTTTTGAATATACAATACAACACACTACTTGAGAAAACTTGAGAAATCAATCTGTGAATCGTTCATCTACGTTTTTCTCTCTGCATTCAAGATTTTGTCATATCATAAGGTGCTTTGATCAACATTGTGGTCATTCACAACGAGAGAGTGCTTTAGAATTGGTGCTTGGGCAATTAGAATTCAAAGTCCAGGTTTCTTCTTTCCTTATTCTTTTGTATCGTGTGAATTGTGTAGATTGGATTGTAATCTACACTTGGTACAATGAATCGGATTTGGTTACTCGGGTGTTTTTCAAGATTCTATCTTATAGGTTGAAAAGATAGTTCTTGGTGTAGATTGGTGAGGATCTACGGGTTGTAATTGTCACTTGGTATTAGTGGAAACTTGACAGGTTTTGTCAAGAACTGGACGTAGCTTCGGATTAGAGTGAACCAAGTATAAATTTGTGTGTTGATTTCTTTCTATCATCTCTTTTAAATTCTGAATATAATCTTGCTGTGTTTTAAATCAAATCATCTTTTCAAGAATTGAATAAAGATAACTCATTCTTCCAAAAGAAAGTAAAGTTTTGTGAAAAAGTTTTTAAGTTCAATTCACCCCCCTCTTGAACTCAACCATTAATTCTTTCAATATTAACTTAATTTGATTGAAAATAATATTATATGTTTAATTTTAATAACTTTAAAATTATATTTAATTTAAATAAATGAAGTATATAAATAAAAATATTTAATAATATGGTTAAATAAACTTGAGAAATTGACACATGAAAAACTTTTCTTCTAATTGTCTTTATATATATATATATATATATATATATATATATATATCACTATATTAAAAAAGTGAACCATTTATATATAATGGAACACTTCTTTTATCATGTTAAAAAGTTTGATACATGAGGATAAAATATACATTACAAAACTATCTATGTATTTTGAGGAACAGAAGAAAAATTGAGAAATTAGCAGCCCAGGCCCAAAACATAGTCTTGCACTAACGAACGAAAGCCCAAACAAGAAGAACAAAGCATCAAACAAAATCCAACAAGGGTTTTACGAGGAAGCAAGAGTGAGGGAGTGGAACTATTCTGTTCCCGAGTGATTCATTCCACTGCTATGCTATGAAGTTCCTTCAATCTCTCATTGGTATATTCTTCTTCTTCCATTCTTCATTTTTCATATACAAACACTTTTTTTTTGTCACAGTCTCAGTTTCTCTCTCTTTTCTTTTTCCATAGCTCAATCACGGCATGCTACGCGTGTCGGGTCATCGAATCGGGTATTGGGGCTCCGATTATTCTCCGTTTCCACGGAAGAGTATGCCAAGAGAAACTATGCAAACAATGTTTCCGAGTACAACACTGTTTTGGGCTCTCTCACTGCACAAAGAAGGTTTCTCTCAATTTTTTATATGTAAAAAACGGGTTAATTAACTAGTCTGAGCATCCCATTTGTTGCAATTTTGCCAAATTTGAATTATTTTTGTCTGTGGGGTTTGTTTGGTAGGGTTTTCTTGCTGAGGGATGTGTACTCTGATATGATGCTAGATGGGGTGAAGCCTACGCGCGACACTTTCCATTCCCTTATTGTGGGAACCATGAAAGGAGCAAGGATGCAAGATGCTTTTTTCTTCGTGGAGCAAATGAAAATCACGGGTTTGCTTCCAGATGTATGTGCTGTTTTTATTATTATCGTTGTTGTTGTTGTTCATAACTTTGCTTGAATAATTTTCCATTTTGAGGGTTAAAGGGTGTTGGAATGATGCTATTGATATTGAATGGAATCCTCGGATTTATATGCTGAGAAAGGGTGCTTAGCGAATTTAGGTCGATCATCACCTGCGGAAACCGATATCATTGCTTGAAAATTCAATTTGGTGCTGACATTTAATGATATCCGAAGTTGAGATATTGAGCTAGTTCTGTTGCTTTTTCCCTGTTTATTGGTGATAGTGAATTGATTATACTTGAAAGTATTGTAGTTCTATATCTTTAGTTTGCTGAGTTGAATTTGTATATTCTGAGTGTCTTCCTTTTGTAATAACTTTAGAATATGGATAATCTTGCGTGATAACAGAAGGTGTTGAGGTTCGTTTCTTTATAATATTTTCAAGTTTCCATGCTATTGTGGATCAGTCTATGAAGCACTTACTAATAGCATCAGTCTATGAAGCACAGACTCCGATACGGATACTGAGACACGACATGGACACCGGGACACGACGAACTTCTAAAATATAGGACACTGAGACACCTTATATATATTAGACATGAATAGAAATTTAAATATGATTCAAATGAGAAATATATAAATTAAAAATTAAGATTTGTTTATTCATCTTCTCAAGACAAAGTTGTTAGACTTTACAATTTTCATATGATATCCTAACAAAAAAATAGTAAGAAGTAATAATTTCACAATGTAAGAACTTTGTATTTTTACAAAAAGAAAGTCCCAAAATAAGAAGATGAATCAAATCTATTAAAGACAGTGGCCTCCATAATCATCATCATTGAAAAATACACTTTCTAGCTCCGGTTCATCAAGTGATAAATTAGCAACTTCAAGTATTTCACTCTCATCTAGTGATCCAAATGCATCTCCTGCTATGTCCCACATTTTTGTTTCCTCTTGGTTATATTGTGGAGAATTCTTTGAAAGAAGACGGAAGTTGTTATGAACAAATACTAGATCTTCCGCCTTATATGGTGTCATCTTGTTTCTTTTCATAGAGTAAATGAAAGAGTAAGTGCTCCAATTTCTTTCACAACATGAAGAAGAGCATGGTTGCCCGAGTAGTTTAAGAGCAATTTTTTGAAGTATTGGAGCATGAGCACCATAAACAAGCCACCAAGATTTTGCATCCATCTTACCCCTATTACTTAATGAATCAATGTCATCAAAACCTTCTCTTCCATCTGAAAAATTTGCAAACTCTACATTTACTTGTCTCCTCACATCCACATCAACAAAATATCGTTTAAAACATTTCACCCTTTCACGAGTAAGTTCCATATCTTGATGTGGAGGAACTCTATTAGAATCTTCACTTAGCCATTCATGACTATAATATCTACAATATAAATAAAAATCATGATTACAATAACCTATAAAAATATAACTAAAATCTTATTTAGGAATATAAAATATTACCTTGGATTTAAAGAATATGCTAAACAATGGAGAGGTGTGCTACTCTTTGTCCAACATTCAATTAATATGGAGTGCACAACATTATAAAAGCTTGATTCTTCACTTTTCGCCTTTCTTTCATATCGATAAATGACATTTCTCACATTTTCAATTATTGAGTCCCACATTTCATATACTAAATGGAGAGATGAAACTTCCGTATCCGTTTTTCTTAGAACATCATAAATGGGACTAGTGAAAGAAAGTATATAATCAACCTTATCCCACCAAACATCATCTAATAATGTATTTTTCACAAATTTAGCTTTTCCAACATCATCTTCCTTGTAAGAAGACCATTCATCTCTAATAACCATCTCTTGGAGTCCTTTTTTCAATTGCTTAAATCTCTTAAGCATGACTATAGTAGAAGCAAATCTTGTTGGAGCAACGAAAAGCAACTTTAATGAGTTGAATGAGTTGAAAATAGATAATCTCATTGAGTGACCCATGATAAAAAAATTTATGAACGTAGCATCTTCTCCTATATTTGTGATCCAAGAACATTCTTGATAAGCAATATTGTTTTTTTCTGTGTTCTTTGTTGCACATATATTTTTCAAAACAAGATTTAGAGTGTGCACAACACAAGGGGTCCAATAAATATAAGGAAAATCAGCTTCAATCATTAAACCTGCGACCTTACATACAGGTGCATTATCAGTCACAATTTGCACCACATTTGAAGGTCCAATTTCCATAATTACATCTCTCATTTGTTTGGCTATAAAATCTTTGTCTTTAATCTTATCATAGAATTCTATAGCCTTCAAAAACATAGGTCCACTCTCTGTAACAGCCATGAAATTAATGAGAGGTCTTCTTTGGGGATCACTCCACCCATCACTAACAATGCTAACATCTTTTTGACTCCATGTATTTTTTATTGGCTCCAAAAGCTTCTCTACATATCTTCTTTCATTAGCAAGCAAACTTGTTCTCAACTTATTATAACCTGGTGGTTGATATCCACTTACATAATTATTGGCAGCAAAAGAAAAAACTCTCCTATAATAAGGATTTCTGGCTAAATGAAATGGCAATCCCGATGGGTAAAACATCCTAGCAATTTCATAGTCTAATGTCTCTCTAGCTTGCATATTGAAAGTTTTATCTAGTGATCCGGCTGTTTTTCTTTTTTTGAGATCAACACCATCCATAGATGATTCATTAGAAATCAGAGGCAAATGGACAAATTTTGCCTTAGACCTTTCTATCTTCAATATAGCTTCATTGTCTAGCTTTGTTAGTTCACCAAGCTTCAAGGGTGTTATTTTTTGACAACCTCTAACTCCCTTTCCCGTAATCTTCAACAAATGTGCTCTCACTCTAGTATAAGATCCATTGAAAGTAAGGTTACAAATATTGCATTTTACATCATAATTTCCACCACCTTCACCAACACTTTTTCTTTGTAACATAATTCTATTGGGGTTTGATATCACCATCTTGTAAAGGCTGACTAGAATTACTCATTTCTACAAAAATGAAACCAATATAACATGATTTTTCTATGTTCATAATTCCATAACTATCGCATTCTAATAAAAAAATGAAACATTATAAAGGAAAAGAGAGCAAAACAAAGACCTAAACAGTGGACAACAAAACAGAGCATGACAGAGTGGAATACCTAAACAACAATGAAGACATGAATAGTAGAAAGTAAAACAGAGTAAAATGAACAGCAAAACTTCAATTAACAACGGAAGAAAATAAAGCAATCCCCACTTTTGAATTTCGGATTGCTTCCAACGGTCACTCTCTACCCCTTTCTCTTTCACAAACCCTATATTCCTCCCTCTCTGTAAATGGGTTGGAATCTCATCTTCTGACTCTTCTTTTGTTTCCCTGCCAACATTGTCCTTCTCACATCCACTTTTTACCAGGTTTTGATCCTATCTGATTTGGAATATGATTACGTCAACCCATTTGACGTTTTGTCTAGGATTAACTACTTTGTTGTTCCGGAGTTCATTGGGCAAGGAGCGTTGTATGCTCTATGCTCTCGGATTAACTACACAGTAGCACGTAGCAGAAGAAAGTAATTGGAAGCAAAAAAGGAAAGCTTTTTTGGATGAAAGGAAAGCTTTGGAGCAGAAATGGAAACGTGCAGAGGATGGAAGGAAGGAAGGAAAACGGGAGAAAAAAAGAATGAAAATGGAAAAAATTCAATTTTTTTTATAAAAACTATACCCGAGTCGGAGCCGCGTCGACACCGTGTCAGATCTGGGTCACGTCGTGTCCACCATAACTCGAAGCCCCGCGATGCGTTTTTGGTCTAGGGGACATTGCAAAAAGGAGTCGGACACGCATTCTCAACGTATCGTGGCAATGTCAGTGTCGGACTCGCGTGTAACACTTTGACACGGATGAGGGGAGCCGTTTCGGTGCTTCACAGGGATCAGTAGATACTTTTGTTATTGTTATGTACATTTTTGCATGAAAAGGTGTTTGGGAGCATGCATGTCTGCGCCATAATGATTTTGACGTGTAATTTGTCTCAGCAGATGCCATTAGGCCACAAAACATTTTGATGTGTAATATGTATATCCTCTATGTAGGTTTTCTAGATCAATGACCAGTTGTTTCATGTTGATGACATAGGTTACTTTATACAACTTTCTGATTTCGACTTGTGGGAAATGCAAGCACTCTAATAAGGCTATTCAGGTACTTGTTTATCACTATTATTGCTTGTGGTCATGGATTTAAAGTATTATTAATTGTGTTTTTGCTTCCTTCCCTTCAGATGAATGATTTATTTGTTTTTGTTTGAAATTTAGATCTTGGAGGAAATGAAATGCCTGGAAGTAAAGCCAAATGTACAAACCTACATCTGCCTGCTAAATGCTTGTGCTGCTGATGGACGCATAGACCGAGTGTATGCTACAATCTACTTCTTTTACAATCTAACAGTTAACTATAAATTACTTTTGAATTAATTCCTGCCCCAAGAACTCCATTGTCTGTTTTTTATTATGCTCTTTTGTTGTCATTCGATGTTCAAGAATTGGTGTTTTATTTTCCACAACATGTTATGAAATTCTACTCTTAAATCGTCTAACAATTATTAACCTTGGTTTTCTACAGTATAATCCTTTTCTTTTTTACTTGAGTAATGGTAGGAGGTATCCCACTTCTAGTTGTCTGTATTTTTAGTTCCAATTATATATCAGCATCATCAACTCATATCTTAGATATATTTATATTATTTTTGGAATATTTAAATATTTTTTTTAAATGTATTGATCCAGGAATGCAATTGTCCGTGATATGACAGCTGCTGGTCTGGGATTAAACAAGTTCTGCTATGCTGGGCTTATAGTTGCACACAAGAATAGGAAACCTCTTGTTGATGATTTTGCTGCAAAAGTAGTTATCATACCTATTTTTTGATTTGGCATGCGTCTATACTGTATTTTGTTGAGTGATGTTTAAAATTGTTATTCTTTGGAAAAAGGTTATTGAGTTTGTGGAGAGGTCAAAGATGTGGTCTTCAGTTGAAACCAACAGTGTCAATGCTGAGAATGTGATGATGGGTGTTACAGACGAAGAGTTATACAACCTACCAACAGCAGAATATATTCATAGGCGTGGAGGGTTTTTGAATAGACCATTTACAGCATATCACACTGCATTTCATGCTGCTGCAGACCTAAAAAATGTTGAGGTATCATGTATGATGGAATTTGTTAAATAATTCTTAATATGCTTCTGATTTGTTCTTCCAATGCCATCTGTTTATGTCTGTGAAATGTAATCATTCAACCATATGACTTTGAGATGTTGGATTAAATAGCATAAATCTTGTAGAAATTGGTTGTAAGTGATATTTGAATCTGGACAACATTGGTGTTCAATGCAGTTCAGAACATGATATCCATTTTCTTGGTTAATATTGTATATTTCTTTTAAATAATATTTACACACTTCATGTTCAATGGCTTACCTAGTTACTCCCACCAAGAAAAATTGGTATGATGTTATTTTCTGCCAAACAATGTGTATATTAATCTTCCTTTTTCATGGTACCCCTCTAAAAGTTCTATTTCTGTTACACTCTGTACTGACCAAAAAATAGAGATTTGATGTACAATAGTTATATGACATAGGGTAACCAATAGATTATGTTTTTCTAGTTGCCACTTTGGACCAGTAAGCTGAGTTAGAATATTGCCACAAGAAATTTGTCGGGCCGAATAAGGTTTATAGTTTCATATTCTGCATATCAATGAAGAATGTCCATGAGGGTTTTATGAAGTTTTATGTATGCAGAAAATTCTATTTTATTTAGATATTATGTTGTATAACATAAACATTTAAATTTCGTCATTACTTTATGTTCTTTAGTGATTTCCATCTCTGCACAAAAGAAAAAAAAAGTGGAATTTCTGGTTGGATGTTAAAAGATTTTTAATTCCAATTTAGTTAATGAAGGTATTGTATTACAGCCAAATATCATATTTGAACTAGGAAAAGACTTTTCCCAATGAATTGCAGGTTTGTGTTTATTTCAGAATGTGTCATTTTAATGTGGTGGTCAAACTAAGTAGAGTCCATCTTGAAAATACAGGCTTTGGAAATCTTCAATAATTGAATATGATCACCTTCTCTGGTCACTTTGATATTTTACATTATTATTTCTTCACTTGTTGTGATATGTGGTTTCATCACCCACCTGAACTGCTTGCTTGACATTTTTGGTTTTTATTTCCTACTTCAAATTGGTTTTATTCTCCAATTTTTTTTTTTTTTAAATTATCTATTAATATATGCATGTTTGCAATCTAATTGTGGCAGCTGACGGACACACTCTTGGAAATGCTGAACAATGAGGAGAAAACTCCTGATGTCTTTATTATGATGCAAGTAATTAGGTAATCAATCATCGATTATTATTTTCTATAAATATACTAATGCAGAGTAAGTTGTTGAATGGCCATTTTCCTCTGGAGTCACTCCTTCCCTTACACTTTCTGGAAAGTAGCTACTCATGCAAAATGAATGGTATTTTCCATTTGACCATTTATATAAAAAGTGTTAGGATCGAGCGCTTACTACTAGGCCAAAAGCTATAGCCATTAGTTAGAGCGCAACTCTTTTTACTTTAAGAGCCCAAACATCACGATTCGATTGTGATTCGGCCCACCTGATCTTTGCCACAGGACAATTGATGCTACCTGCAACGATCTCCCTCTCAGCAATTGTCCTATAAGATATCCCATTCTTGGATTGTCACTCGGTCCACTCGGCCTCCGCCACGAGACAATTGTGCAATCTGTAACAATCTCCCCCTCAACAATTGCCCACCAGGAATCGAATTTGTGACCTTGGCTCTGATACCAATTGTTAGGATCGAGCGCTTACGGCCAAAAGCTATAACAATTAGTTAGAGTGCAACTCTTTTTACTTTAAGAGCCCAAGTGCCACGATTCGATTGTGACTCGGCCCACCTGGCCTTTGCCACGGGACAATTGATGCTACCTGCAACAAAAGGAAGTTAAAAGCATGGTTGTCAAACTTGCACAGCAAGTCATTTTTTACTAGGCTCGTCTGAATTTGAGCAAACTAGTGTAAAATCGTGAGTTTAGAGCTGATTCAGTGAGTTCAGTTGGACATTAGAAAAAGGTAAAAAATGACACTAGATTTGTTTGTTTCTAGGTCACAATTTATGCAGAACACACCTAGGTAACAATTCCATGGTTCATTGGTTCTCTCTTGAAGTTTCTGTCTGTTTCGGGTGTTGGTGTCTTTCTCAGGTCTGTTTTGCTCTCCTTCAAGTTGTCCTGGACAGCCTCTGTGATCTCAGTACTCTCCCATTTCCTTTCTCTTGTCTGTTTCATAGATAGGACGATGCAAGCTACAAATCAGTGGGTTGGATCATATACATAATATTTTATAACTATAAAATTTACTAATTATTTTGTAAGAATTTAACATTCTGTGTTTTATTAATTTTACAGTATTCAGAACACTAATATTGAATTCAATATAGAAACATCTAGTTTCTTCTAACTGGTATTTATTTCTTGACCTGAATATAACTAACCCCTTTAATAGATAATAAAAAAAGTACCTATGGCCTACAGCCAAGCCAAAAGATGCCTTAAGTTCTTGTTGCTACATCTGCAGGTTTTGTTAAACACTTGACATAATTAGCCAGTGCTAGATGTAAACTTGATAAAAGTGCATGTTATGATTTGACTCTTGTATGTTTGTAATATTATCATACTGATGATGTGTACTATAGAGTAGATACGCTACACTAATACTTGTTATATAATAAAAGCACCCGATTAATTCAGATTATTTTCAAAACCTGTTCGCTTTCCTACATTTTTTCCTTCAATTTCAGCGATAACAACTTCACTGAAACTGAAGATTTTGTTACTAATAGTGGAATTGCTTATATAATGGCATTCATTTAACCACCAAACATGTTCAATTTGTTTGATGTAGTTGGTGGAAAATATGCTTTAAATTTGAACTTTATTTTTGCTCTAGACTGAATCGTTCTCCTCTCCTTATGTTTAATTCTAGTGGTATGTGTTCTCCTATTGCACTATTCAAGAAGTCAGTTTATCTCTGTTTACCATTATTATGCAGGTGCTATTGCAATGCAGGAGATATTGACCGTGGTCTTCAAACTTTTGAGAACCACATAAACGAGGGAAGGCCTATTGCTACAGAACTTTTTGTGGTGAGTTTGGTAAAAGTTTCTAGGATTTTCAATACCAAATATTGTAACTCAATGCTTATTCGTGCTCAAGCATCTTAGGGATGCTGTGAGTAATATGGATAAATACCCCTTCTGGCAGTGGTGTGACTCGTGTGTGTGCCTGAAATAAAAAATTACCAATTTTCCTGTCAACCATCTATTGCATGAAATATGTAACTGAGAGTACCTCATTGAACTCTGCTACTAAATAAATTTGTTAAACAATGTATAAAATGCATAACGAGTTATACAAACCAACATGACTGCAGACTCTTGCAGAAGGGGCAATGACTGGGTACACTGAAAAAGGAATGCAAATTGCTCAAGATATTCTGGTAGGTCATCTTGGTGTCGTCATCAACTTTACTATATGATTTACCAGATCCGTTTGAAGACTTAAAATATTATTTTGTAAATGTAGGTAAGGATGAACCAAAGAAACTATTTTGTGAATAGCAAATTTGGAAGTGAGCTCCTGCTTATAGCTGCAGGAGAAAAGGTATTGTAACTCTTATCTCGTTACTTACTTGATACTAAGTTGATATTTGTTCTTGGGAATTTAAAATTTGTATTTTGTTCTTATTTCTTAAATGGTAGACTGGGGGATATACCACTGCTAACTACATATGGGACATGATGCGAGCTCGGAAAACTAACCCTCTATTTCCTGCAGTAGAAGCATATTACCAAGGCTTAAAAGTGAGTTATTCGTCTCTCTAATGCATCATGTTTATTTATGACCTTTGAAATAGTTTCTCTTGATAGTTTGTATATTCATATTAGTGGTAAAAAATTATGAATCATATTGCAAATGTTGCAAATTCTCTTGTCTATATTGGGGATAATAATTAGTATAAGTTGTGATCCGCCGTCATTAACAGACCCTTTGGCCCTGTCATTTACAAACCCTTTCGCATTGTCATTCAATCTTTGTTTTGTCAATTTGTCAAGAGTTTTAACACTCCTTAGTATTTAGGGTTGAAAAAGTGATTCGTTATTGTGCATGGAAAGGAGAACAATAAGTTTTCATTTCTATGTTCTTTGAATGATTTCTTATAAGGATATTCCTTGAAATGCTTGTATTGCATTATTGAACAAATGAAAGATTTCACTTGAAGGATGTGAAAAATGTCAGGATATGGGGCTCTTAGTTTTTAATTTAATTCTTTTTTTTTTTTTTAATTTATTGGTTACACTCATATGTTATATAATCACGCTATATCTTCCCGTTGAATGTACCCATGATGCTCAACTTTGTGGAATTGCAGGATCGAGAGATACCTGAAGATGATCCAAGACTTCTATTGGTTTCTACAACATATGACAACATGCGTGTGAGATTCGGGAAGCGGCCAACCTAAAATCTTAGACATTTAGGCTCTTACATTTTTTAAGAGAGTTCATAAGTTACAAGAATTATTTGTTTGAGATTCATGCATGATCCCATTCACACAGGGTCTTGATCGCAGTCATAAGCTAAACTTAATTTTGTATCTAAGAAGATTATATAGAGCACTTGTTACCATTCGATAGATTTAGATTTTATTTTATAAATAATTATTTGTCTGTGAATACATGAGGTACCATTGATGTTAAGCTATTTCAATGTCAATTTAGACTCTAAATTGTAATCTACGTATATAATTGTTGACATTACCTCGACTATTACCTCAAGATGGAAGAAAAAGTCACTGATTTGTGAACTAGTGAGAACAGTGATATAAAGATTGAGATATGGTTGGATGTGATTGATTTGGTTATTATCCAGATTTGAGAATAAAGGTTATGTTGCTACTTTTATATTATTTGAGGCATTTAAGACCATGTTATTTTTTGAAGTTTTACTTAAATAAGGTTATACCTGGACCAATTTTTTCACCAAAACTTCTAAAAGAAAAAAAAAATAAGATGAATATTTTCATGAGTTAAAACAAATGCAAAATTTTATGTGAGGAAATTTTAATAAATTAGTTATAGCATATTTAATAGTGGATCGTATTTATTTAATTTTATGTTTATTGGTACTAATTTTGAAAATCGAGACATAAAGTTTTAAAATTAATTTATTATTATTATTTTACAGATTTTATAAGAATTCGATCTTCTTGGGATGTATAAGAATATGTGTCATGAATGTATTTGTTTTGATTCTTTCTAATATGAAATGATATTTTATGGAACCAAAATGGTAATATTATTTCTCAATTAATCAAGAATCTTAATTTTTGCTAAGAGCTTTTTTTTTAACGAAATATTTAAAAATCTATTGATTCTACTAACTAATTCCATAATAAATAATTCGGATCTTTTAATTCATGAACCTGATCTCAGACATATGAAATTATATATCTTTTTAATTCATAAATGTGAATATCAGATATATAAAATTATAGATCATTCGAATCTTTTAATTATGGATCTCGGACACATGAATGAGATATAGAAAGAAAAGTTAAACAAAAATAATAATAAGAAATTTGGGTAAAAGAAGTGAGTTAGAAAAAAAAAATAACCTTAAAAAAAATGACTTAGACAAATATTTTTTATCAACGTACCAATCTAATTAGGGATGGCAAAATGGGCTAGGCCCGGCAGGCTGGCCCGCCAGCCCGCCATAATATGGCGGGTTGGTGTTTTCAGCCCACCAGCCCGCTTTGGCCCGCCAGCGCAAACCCGCCAACCCGTCGGGCTAACTCGCGGGACGGGCGGGCCAGCCACGACCCGCCTAATTAATAAAAAAATAATTTTTTATTGTAATAAAATTAATTATAAAGATAATATATAAAGTTAAAAATTTTAAAAAGAGAATTAAAAAAGTTTCATTCTTACGGAAAATATTATCCTTCCTGAAATATAACATTCTCTCATGTTCTCCTTATTTATCCTAAGTACTGATTATATTTATCTTTATTACTTGAATTAAAGGTATAAGAATTACTCAACCAAGAATAATATGAAGTTTTATCAAATAAAAAATATATAGGTATTTGAATTTTTCAATATAAAAAATATAAATTTTATAAGTTTAACATTATTTATATATATATATATATATATATATATATTTGTTATTATTTATTATTATGTAAATTTTATCATTGTTCTAAATTATAATTTCTTAAAATAATGTATTGATTTATATTATTAAATTGAAATAATATATATATATATATATATATATATTGAATTATTGACAAACAAATAATAATCTTATTATTAAATTTATTAAAAAAATTATTTTTTCTAAATTATGACGGCCAGCCCACCAGCCCGCCAACCCGCCCCTTGGCGAGACGAGCCAAGGTCTACAGCCCGTCATGACTATATCGGGCCAGCCGCTCCGCCCGCTTTTGGCGGGCCAAAACGGAGCGGGCTGGCCCATTTTGCCATCCCTAAATCTAATTAGCATGTAATTGATATAATATATCGGATAGAAAATAATAGATTTTATATTGAATATATGGGTTGAGGTTAAAAAATAAATTTATCTTTATAATAAATTAATAGTTATTTTATAAATGTTTTTTTTAATATTTATATGTTTCTTAGATGTGAAAAGATTTACGAAGACATATTCAATATCTTACCTTGTGTTTTGTTTGTGAAATGAAATATTATTACTATTTTAAAAATCGGATCGATCAGGCCCATTCAACTGATTAAATTGAAAATTAATTTATTTTTCTAAATAATAAATTTTAATTAAATTAAAATAAAATTAAAAAAATTGATTAGATTTTTTTAGATCAAATCAATTTTGATAAAAGAATATATATTTATGATCAAATTTTGTTAATATAAATTTTTTATAAAAAATATAATATATTTTAATTTTTTTATCTTAACTTTAAATAATAATTATTTTATTAAATTTTTATTTTATTTTAATAATTATTCATATTTTATTCTCTAATATATTTTATATTTATAATTTTCATTGTAACATATCATAATCATTATAATAACTTTTATTATTATTATTTTATAAAAAAATATTATTAATAATAAATTTATTATATTATAAAAATATTATTTTATTAAATCTAGTTAGACTCTAATCAAATATTTAAACCCAAAACATAGATCCAATTTAAAAAACATTGAATATTATTTCTAATTAATGTGCCTTCTTCCCAACTTATTAGAATTTTTATAGAATTTAAGAAAGTATTAGAAAAATATCAAAATTATATTATTATAATTATTTTATAAACGAGGTACATTGGCTTAGATAAAAAAAGTTGTTTTTGTTTCAATTTTTTTTTTTACTTGAGTTTTTTTCCTGAAAACTTAGTTTGAAAATATATTTTTTTATTATCTGCTATTATTAAAATAAAATAAAAAAAAAACTACCAACTTTTGTGAAGCAACTTTAGGGAAACTATGACCACATCTTCACCCTAAATTTTTATCACTTTTGGATTTCAATATAAGCAAAATTTGACTAGCTTAACCCCATTTTATATTATTTAAAAAAAATACTTTCTTTTTTTTAACCTAAAAACCTTCTCCAATAAATATAATTGAAATCTGTTTAATAAAAATACTTCTTTTATTTTATTAAAACAATATAACTTAATTATTATTCTTAACTGTAGCTCCTAATAATTATTTAAGTGATGAATTAGAGACATTTTTTTTAACCAAAAACTTAGAAATACTGAAAAAGTTAGAGATTTTCTTCAGTTATTTTACCAATTTTGATCTTCCATCATTTTTGTAGTCTTATAATTTATTTACATCTTTGAATGATGAGTTATCTTTTAGTAACCATGTCAATAATTAAATAGGGTTGATACACGTATTTTTCTTTAATTATTTTGTTTAAAGAAAATAACTTAATCAATTTTTTTAATTATTTTATTTAAAGAAAAAAATTAATTAATATAATATAAACGATATCGTGTTTCTTCATTTAAGATTTTTTTTTCTTTTCGTATTCTGAAATCTAAAAAAAAATTAAGAATCTTCGAAAAAATTATACGTATGTCGATTTTATGCGAAATATATTTGATTTTATCATAGTTTTAAATTTGTATGTTTTAATAAACTATTATTATTATTATTATTAGTAGTAGTAGTAGTAGTAGTAGTAGTAGTATTATTATTATTAGTATTATTATTGATAGATAGAATCTATAAAATGGGCTAAAAGAAATTCAGCCCAGCTCATTTACTCTACAGGCCCAAAAATTAGAACATTAATGTTACATTATAAAAGCCCTATCTATAAAACTAGAATCAAAATTCGTGCTTTGTTCATCAGCTTGAACCAGAAGAAGCAGAAGGTGTTACTGCATACACTCGAAAAAGATGAATCCTTCTGAGAAAGAAGACTTTCAGATTGACGTTGAAGAGACCACGTCCAACAGCGACGAAAAGCTGAAGAAAGCAAAGAAGAAGAAGAAGAAAGTGCCGTCGAAGGGGGCAGAGAAGCGCGGTGTGTGCTATTTGAGTCGAATCCCCCCTCACATGGACCACGTCAAGCTTCGCCACATTCTCTCTCAGTTCGGCGATATCCAACGAATTTTTCTCGCTCCTCAAGGTCTCTCTCTAAAATTTTCGTATTACTCTTTTTATTTAGAGGCAAACTTGATTTGACTGTCTCAAAGAACAAAAAATGAAACCATTGATTATCTTTTGCTGGTTTATTTTATAGACATTTTTTTATTTTCAATTTGTTTTTAACATTTTTTGTGAATATAATACTTTATCATTTAGCTTAATTGTATATTTTTACCGTGCAACCATCATCAGTTCGTGAATTTCACTAACTAAGTTTCGTGCATTTTACCATCAAGTTTCAATTTTCTCACGTTTTATCACTTAGTTTTTTTTTCACATTTTACCATATGATTTCTTTAGCATTTACACATTTTAGCATCATGTTTGTAACAAAACCATGTGCAAAAATTGTGATGAAACCACAGTGTCTTATAGAGTGATAACATTTTTAAATAGTTTGAGTACCAGAAAAGCGTATTAAATCCATATGTCTCAAGCTAGAAGAAGTTAGTAGTTGGAAATCACCTTAAATATCGGGCCATTCTGATTAAATTCTTGAAGGCGTATATTGTTTACATATTTTGAATTGTGTTATGATTGAGATTTTGTTATTATTTATATTTTTCAGGTTCTGCTACCCAAGTGCATTCTAAGCGGTCCCGTGCATCCCGAGACCAAGCATATTCAGAAGGGTATTTATTTATGTTTTGTTTGAAATCGGATAGGTATCTGATTGAAGTTGTTCAAGTTGGTGAGATTTGAATTTGATCATGGGGTTTTTCTCTGCTGTGTAGATGGGTTGAATTTGGTAATAAAAAGGTTGCTAAGAGGGTCGCCAATATGTTAAATGGTGAACAAATAGGTATGTGTTTGAATCTTGTATCACCGTCAGTCACCTGCTGCTCTTTGTTCTTCATTCTTAAATGAAAATTCTAACTTTGTCTCCAAACTAATGAATATAGAATTTATTGTATCTCAATTCTCATGCTTTGACTATTTGCCTGAATGAATTTTTTGTAAAAAATGTGATGTGGTGTTTATTTGTAGTAGCAGGATTATATATACATGTAGTGGTTATACCTGTTGTTCTTTCGTCTTCAGTGTTTTGATGGGAATCGTAATGTTGTCATATAAACTCTAGAATTGGTTTACTCTTTAAATTTAGTTAAATATAAATATGATGTGTTCATAAATGGTGTATGCTTATTAGCAGGATATTTTGTGTGACTGGTTTCTGTCTGTATGAATTTGGTTTTCAAGTTTCTGATTTGTATTGTTTGTCTTCAAGGGGGAAAGAAAAGATCATCATTCTACTATGACCTCTGGAATATTAAGTACTTAAGTAAGTTCAAGTGGGATGATCTAACTGAAGAACTTGGTAAGAAATTTATGATCAGTGTCTTGTTTTTATTGGTGGAGCTTAAGCAGATTATGCTAAAACAATGTGTATCTTACAGCCTTAAAGAAAGCTACTCGGGAGCAAAAGCTAGCTGTAGAACTTTCTGCTGCCAAGAGAGAGAGAGATTTCTATATGTCCAGAGTTGACCAGTCACGTGCTTTGAATGCTATAGAGGAGCGGCTGAAGAAGGTATGTTATTATGTCTGCACATTTCAAAGACTTCTAAACCATTCCATCTTAGTTTAAATATGTTGGAGGTATATACTTCAGTCATTTAATGTCAGACAACAAACCATATGTTGATTAAGAATTTATTTGGTTGAATGAAAGCCAACCCCAATGAACAAGAATGGGCTGTTTTCTCTAATTCTTATCTATTGATTGACATTTTCTTCATTTTTCTTGGTTGGTACAGACTGTTTGACATACTTTTTTCTGGTACTGAGTGATATCAAATAAGTAGAAATAGTAAGAGAGCTTTTTTTTCTATTAAGGAAATAACTGTAGGGTGGTTAATTTTCTTGAATGTTAATCGTTTGAAATTGTCAGATTTTAAATATATTGTGTTGACTAAATAGTGAGTTGGGAATATTATTTTTCATAATAATTAAAAAAGTTCTCCGTTAATTGGAGCAAGAAATTGAACAAGTAATGAAGCTTTTGGTTTACATGTGGTTTTTAAATTTATAATATTTTGTTTGTTACACTTTTGGCTGTTGTCTTAGAATTAAAATTTCTTGCTACAGTTTTAACTTTGGAGGCATAGTAAAATAACTTGCATTATTCTATTCTCAACTTGAACCGGAAGAATTAAAGTTTTTAACCACAATATCCAGTAAAAGCTCAGTTATCCTGCTTGAGTCTCGTACTGTTTCTTCTTTTGGCTTTCATAAAGCTGTTTTGACTGTCAATTCTGGCAGACCATGAGATAGCTTTTTCACTGTTTTCTATTTACCTAATCTGATCCATTTCTAAAGTAAATTACTAATGAGTTATGGAAATGGAAGGCCTTTTTTTAATATACAATTTGTAAAGGTTAATCCATGAAAATGGCCTCTCTAAATGGCAGTACGGTTTATCTATTATATCTCCATTCGAGCACAACAGTGCAATGCAGCTGATACTTATTTTTGGCAACTATTTGGGACTGCCAGAGCCAGACTATTTTCTGATTCAGGATTTGAATTATTTGGACCTAATCTAACAACTAGAGTTGCAGATAATTTAAATAAATCTGATTTTGAGAACAAGTAAATTAAATCATTATACGTGGGTAGCTTTGGAATTTGCTGTAATTTTAAATGCTGGTTTGTGACTTGCAATATAAATAGTTCACTTCTACGTTTTAAGGAACTCAACTTCTACCGATTTTAAATAATTTTAGTTTTACTCCTTATTATTTCTCCTGAGTAGCTATGATTGTCTGTCTTTTTTGATAGAAGAACTTTGTTTGGATTATTAACGTAGACACTTTTTCCTTGAATCCACAAAGATTCTTTACCTATCATGTTTCATGCATTTATTGACAGTTGTGTGGTTTTATTTTGCTTATTTTTAAATCTGCCTTCAATAATTTGCTTCACAATTATGGCAATCAGAAAGTTAGTTCAAAGACACCTTAAGCTATTTCTTTTCATGTGTATTTTCTTCTCAAATTTCAATAAATAATATCATATTGAAGAATCAGTTCATACTGACATCATTGCATTCTGCTTGCACAGAAGCAGAAGATTCAACAAGACTCAGGAGTGGCAAAAGTGATTCGCCATTTCCCTCAAACAAAGCCAATAGCTGCTGATGCCAAAAAAAGTAAACCTGAGCTTTCTGACGATATATTGGATGCTGTAAGTAAAAAATTCATTATTGGTTAGAGATAATAATTCTTGGTTAAATGTGTTTTTGGTTTATTATGGTCCCTGTAAGATCTTGTCTGGCCTTCATTCCCACAAAATTGAAAACCACTTTTTTTTTTTTTTATATCTGATAGATATTTGTTATATGCTTGAGTTGAACATGTTGAGTGACCATACCGAGTGCCTTCACTAGCGTATATGATATAATTGTGGCATGTAATACTTCTGAAAAGAATTTAAAATCCTTAAAATAAATATTATTTATCTATTTTAAGATGAATGTTGAAATCCAAAAATAGTAATTTCAATTTTTGGATGAATGAAAACAAAGAAAAATATTTTACAAAAAGAACAAAACTATAGTTTACCCATTTTATAAGCTTAGAATAATTATTTCAATTTTTACAGGAATGAAAAATCAAAAGAAATCGTGGAACTAAAATTAAAACTTGCTTATTTTAGTGGGGATTAAAATCAAATTGTTTTATTGGTGTTTCATTTTGTGTTTTTTATTGTTTTCTCATTTTCCTCACCCTGCCTTTGAAAATATGTGTAGCTTAGTCTATGAAGTCCTTAGTTTTTAATTCAAATGGTTTCCATTGTGTTCCTCGCAGGTATTTGGTGGCTCCTAATTCATGTGTTGATAACATAAACATCAGGAACCAAAAAGTTCGTTGTAGTTTTCTGTGTGATTGGTTCCCATAAGCAGGTTTAATATTTTATGTATGTATTAATTTTTTAATGAATTTTCTAGAGAATGCCTTTTTTTTGTTGATCTAGGTTTTCAAGATGAAAATCACTGTAATCTGCATATACGGAAAACATGCAATGAAGTTATCAGTGATTAAAACATGGCAAAATGAGCCCCAAATGTATCATTGTCTACAATCCACAACTTTCTTTCAGTTTAGGTTGTTCATTTCCATTTTTAAAATTAATTTTTGTACATTGTCAATATATATATTTCTTTAAACTATCAAATAATTAAAACTTATTTTAAATGGCTTTTAGAATATTTATTGTAAAAGAGTAATCTTAAAATGTTACTTCTAAACATGGATTGTTAAGAAGTTGTTGTTGTTGAAATGTCAGTAAAATGTTCCATGTATTTAATTATATTTATATTTTGATGTTATCGTAAATAAGTTGATAATCTACACTACATTTTTTCTCAACTGTGTAATTACAATGGTAATGCTAATTTCATAGCGAATCAAAGAGATTTTGGGTCAAGACAAGGAATATTGGTCATGGAATGAAAATGTTTAGGGGAAGTTTAAAAATTAACACGGTTAATTGTTAATTCATTATTTGAAATTAGACGAGTAAGTGTGTATCAAAAGAAATGAATGCAAAATTACTTAAAGCATCACAGGTGTAGATAAATTACAGTATTTGCTTTTATGGCTTAATCACTACTAATTCTCTTTTAATTTTAGTCACACACCGTTGGGAGAAGAAAGTTTTCAATAAAAAATTATTGTAATTAATAAATTAAAAAAGCAAAAAAAAAATTGAACCAATCTGCAAAATGAGCACGTCTTATAAGATTGTTTTCCGTATTCAAATTGATTTACATGATATGGTAATTGGTACGTATTATTAATCGCGGATGGTTATTGAATAGACGTTTTTATCATGACATATCATATGTGAAGACATTCTTTAGAGTGATAAATTCTACATATTCTGGGTGGTGCCTACTAAAAAGTTACTCCATGTAAATAGTATAGTAAATAACAACCACACTATAAAGGCAAATGAAAAAACTGGCATTGAACACAACATCCAATCATTTTAACATTTAGTACATCTGAACAATTATGCAGTCAAATCTTTTCCAATAACACCTTTGAGATTAGATCTATACAAGAAATTATAGTGTTTTCCAAAAGTTCCAAGTCAAGTCTAAGAGTATATGAGACAGAGAATGCAGAAATAGATGCACAAAAGGATTAGATTCAGAGATTGTTTCCCTTCAATCAGCTACAACACCCACCTCTCCCAGAAACAGTTCCATCTCTGCCACCTGATTGGCCTTGGGGACGTCCATAGCCAACTTTAATACCAAATGCCTGCAACAATAGATTAATTCGTGATCTTAGCCAAAAGGGCACATAAGGGTGCATGGAAATTTTCTTTTTATTTATATATTCATTACAAAAAAGAAGAAACATGGTTTGTTTACATTTAACCATTTAGGTGAAACCAACCATCATTAACACAACCTAAATCTCAGGTTTTACCGAGATAATTACCAAATCAAATGAAATGCCAAATTTCTTGCGCAAAGGTCACCTATTATGACAATAAAATGATGAAAACATCCATTCTCAAGACACAACCAAAAGAATTTACGTTAATGACATGATTTCTGATTTGATGTTGCCATAATGGAGTGGGGCCAACAATGATAAGAGTCCAAGATAGTTGACACAAGTCACAACTATCTTCCCACCACTTTTTGAACGGAAAACAGTATATGTTTACCTCATTGGACACATCAAAGACACCTTCCTGAATATTCTGAAGAATCTTTGCAGCAGTCCTTATAAAAGCCTGAAAAATAAGCAGTAAGTTACCTTTGATGGTAATAAAATTCACAATACCCTGGGAGTTGAGAAACATATGTGCTGTGTCTTGCTTGATATTGATTGAGATAAATCACCTCTTCCACATTTTGAGCTGTCCTAGCAGAAGCCTCCAAGAACAGAAGTCCATTTTCCTTTGCAAATCGCTCTCCCTCCTCTTTGCTCACTGCCCTTCGATGAGACAGGTCACACTTGTTCCCTATGAGCATGATGCTCATGTTAGGATTGGCATGCTGCCGGGCATCTTCCAGCCAACTTGCTAAATGATTAAATGTGTCTCTCCTGGCATACAAAATAATCTTTTGGTTCAGTTGAAAGGACTTTGAAAAATGAACAAACCTCAGATTTAAACCCCCACCACCGCCACATACAGAAAAGCAAAAATGAAAAGGGGACAGAATCATTGGACATTACACTGTTTGGGAGCCCACAATGCAAGCAAGAAGGGACATATACCAGCATTGCACATGCCAATAAACTTGACAAACAGACAAATAAAAAAAAAAATATGATTGTAACACAATATGTCGCTTGCAATCAGAGTACTACAGCTCCTCCCCAAATGAGGATTGGAAAACCAAAATCATTACAATATGCTTCAAACATTGAACTTTGATAATAAACTAAGACACAAATGTTTACTTCAAGAGAATTGAAACTTTCAAATAGGGCAATCGACATTAACAAAAGAGAAAGGAAACAATAAAGATACAGTCACCACCAAAAACTTCAAAAGTTTGTAATCATAACTGTACAATTATGCAGCATTTCACTTCTACTGCATTGCTAGAATTCCAAACAACACAGGGTGGTATCTTATTCAGTATTATCCTCAAGAAATGCACACGATGATCTCTATGTCAGATTGTTAATAGCACCACTCACCTTGTAATGTCGTAAACTAGAAGTGCTCCTGCTGCTCCCCTATAGTAAGATCTAGTGATGGATCTAAAAGACTCTTGCCCAGCCTACAGTTAAACAACGAGTTCTGCATAAGTACCTAAATATTATTGAAAACAGCAGCCTTGTTTAGACACGAATATATGAATAAAGAATTCTTTATTCAACACTACTAATACTTTTAATCTTGTTAAGATCCTCCACATACACCATGTTGTGAATCAAAGGGATTAATGAAACCATTCATTACTACATGAATTTAGTCTCACCAAGCAATGTCAAGCACTGTAATTCCAGGCTTAGCCTTACAACAAACTAAAGCATCGACAAGGGAAGGGGGTCAATTTTATATAATAAATGGGCATAATTTCAATAACAAGTTTTTTTTCTAGGTTGAATGACTACAAATATCGAGGATTACCTTATCTATATCAATGATAAACATAAAGAAATTAAGTAGCAGCACAGATAAAGAAGCATTAATCAACCTGAGACATAAATAACAGGGTGCGTGTTTGATATATCTGCTTGAACAAGTTCAACTAGAGATTTCAAATTCTAAAACGGTTTATAATCAGTCTCACAAGAAGATACCGATTTGTTTATCACAATCACAAATCTAGCACCTTTTTACTACATACATATATAACCTTATTCCTAACCATGTCCCTGCACTCCTATTCACCAAGATACATTCAAGACAATGAAAAAATAAAAACATTAAAAAAGTAAACAGACTTATTTTGTTTGGGCTTGCATTTCCAAAATTGGTTCTGCAATACTGATTTTGAATAAAATTGATTTTGAAATGATGAGATTTATGTTTGAGCCATTTATTTTAAAAAAACAAATACATGTAAAATTTGCCACAAAATTTTATATTCAACCCAAAAGTTACTTGGGTCTTTGGTTTCACTTTGAATTCTCCCGAATCACATTGAAATGATGAACTTTCGCTTCTATGTTTTATAGGTCCAAAATTTGTCCTGAGTTTACGCAACTTTAAGTAGCTTTTGCATTGGATTAAAAATTGTATATTGTTTTACTTCTAGCTTGCTTTTATGATAAAAACATTTGAACAATATCACATCACTTTAAAATCAATTCTAAGCAAAATATATTTTACAACACACGTAAAATTGTTTCAACTCAAAATCAATTCTAAACCCAGAATCAACTCCTTAAAGTTTCACCTAAAATCTAGTTAGCTAGCATTTCAACATAATCTTGGATGATCCAACATAAAACCATACACGCCCAAAAAATAAACATTCAACCAAATTAACCAGTAATCAAAACTATTTTACTAGTGTTCTAGCACATACACCTAATCTGAAATACCCTACCTACCAAATAGTAATTAAAAAACCAATAAAGAAATAAATTTTTATTTATAAAATAAAAGTCGAGAAAGTGATAAAGAGAGAGTAAACTAACAGTATCCCATATCTGAAGCTTGATGGGTCGAGCATCAATGGTGACCATGCGAGCGCCAAACTCAACACCAATGGTGAGATCATGAACGGGTTGGAACCTCTTATCAGTGAATTGGAGGAGCAGGCACGATTTCCCTACACCTGCACCGCACCGGGGAAAAATTCAACTTGGAGTCAGATTCGGAGACCCAATTGCAAGACAGAAATAAAGAAAAAAGTGGGCTCCCAAGAACCTAACCTGTGTCACCGATGATGATGTACTTGAAGAGGTAATCGTACGACATGGCTGAACCACTGACACGACGTCGTTTAGAAAGAGCAAGCCAGAAAGAAGAAAAGAAATTGGAAGGTTTTGGTGTGGGATGATGGAGAATAAGACGAAGAAAGAAAGAAAGAAGGAAAGAAAGGGATGCACAATGCGGGTGGTGTGGGTTTGAATCCCAACCAAAAGCGAAGAAGTGACGTATTTGTATCACTTCTTTACTTATACTTCTACAAAATCCTTCGTTCTTATCTTTTAATTTTGATTTTTAGTTTTGAAGGAGGGAACATGAAACAAGAGAATTTTTTCATATTTGGAGGTGTTTGCTTATTATTTTACAAAATAATTTTCTGATTTAGTTTAATTTTTAGTTTTTAAAAATAGTTTTAGGTATCAATTTTGAAAAATTATTTCGAAATTAAATAAAAAAAATTAACAATTTTATTTATAAAGTTGTTTTAATTGAAAGAGAATGACATAAACAATAAAAAATTATAATAAAAAATGAAAAATCATTTTAAATAACTTTATAATAATAAAAATAATAATCTAATTTAATTTATTGAAAATATAAATTAAAATATAAAATAATTTCATCAATTTTTTCTTTTTCTAGTTTTTAAAAACTATAAAACAAAAATAAATTGTAAAAACTGTTTTAATAAAATAGTTATTTTATAAGTTTTTTAGTTTTTAAAAATTAAAAAATTATTATTAAAAATAATAAACAGGTGAATTTTTAGTTTTTTAAAATTAAGAAATTTATATAATAAATTTTTTGTTAAAATAAAGTTTTAAAATAATTATATTTTTAGTTTTTTAAAAACTAACAAATTAAAATTGATAAATATATTTTTTGTTTTAGTTTTAATTTTATGAGTTCTACTATCATATATGATTATTTTTACTGGTAATTGTTTTATATCAATCATTTTCTTTATTACAAATTTGTTAAAATCATCTCAAATTTTTATCACGACTATTTAGTATTATTAATATCTAAAATAGTTTTTAAATTATAATTATTGACATTTTTTAACTTGTTTTTAACAACAATTATGAGAAATTAATTCTAAGACTATTTTTACAAATTAGAAAACAAAAATAAATCAACCAAATATTTGAATTTTGAATTTTTAAATGTTGATTCAATGTTCAACGTTAATTTAAATTGGGGCAAGTTTGAAGGGCTAAGTGGGTTTGGTCATTATTAGACTATCTAATTTTCTTTAAATAATAAAATATTTTATGCATTTGAATCTTTTTATTACACATGCCATAAATATTTTTGCTTTGTAAGATATATCTTCAACATGTTTTAAATCATCAAAAATAAATTATATTTATTATTCTTTATAGGCATTGATCATTTTGAAACTTTCGTCCATTACAGTTTTATCCTTAAAAGGTATTTTAGGGTTAAAAACAAAGAGTATAGGTAAATTATCTTTAGTCTCGAGTCTTAAACAATATGGGACTCATCATGAGTGAATTTCTATTCTCGTCCTTAGGGCGCTAATGTATCGTCTAGGAATGAGAGTCTCCTGACCTCATATATGTTACACTAACTCTTAGATGAAATAATAGCATCCACCATAGAAGTTGATAGTGAAATCTTAATCCATTCATATCCTTTAGTCTTCGATTAAGGAAATGTATTTTATGATAATTTATATGCACTTCTCTTTCTTAATACAACAATATATATTTTAAGTTCTAAAATAAATAATATTTCAAGAATAAAAATTGATGTAAATAGTATTATGTAAAATATTTTTTATTATAAAAATTTGTAAACAATTAGGCTACTGCCTATTAAAGATTGTCTGGTGAGAAAATGGGAGAAAAATATTAAATTAGATTACAAGTGAGGAAGAAAATAAACAAAATTTACTATTAAGATAAATGAATAACGTATAATATAAACTTAGAAAGAAAAAAAGTAATTCAGTTAATTAAATAATTAAATTAAAAAATTATTTTTCAATTTTAATATTTTCTGCATTTTCTTTTATTATCTTAATTTTTACACATTATTTTTATATAATCCATTTGATATAAAGACATCAAAGGACACAACAATAAAATTAGTAAACAATTAATATAAATAAAAAAAATTAAAAGAAAGGTTTATGACAACCCCACTCAAATCACTCTTAAAATGATTAAATATGTTTTTATACATGTATTTTTTATTTTATTTTATACAAATTTGATCTTAATCCCTATACTTAAAAATTAATTAATCAGTTCTCAAATTTTAAAAATATATAAATTTGCTCCTTAACAATAAAAAAGTATTAAATATTAAATTTGGATATAAAAAAATAAAATCATAAATATTTTTTTATTCTATCAAACTCAAAAATCATCATCAAATATTCATTTTTAGTGTAAAAATATTTAAAATAACATTTTTATAACTTGATAAAATATTAATTGATTTTTAAATATAAAAACCAAAATATTTGACAAAAAAAACATATTTGTCCACTCTTATAAACATATATTCCTTATTAGAAGGTAATATATTTGTTTTTATCTTTATCCACGTAGGCTGAGCAATATGAAAAAATAAATGCAGCAAATAAATTTTTTCTTCTATAAGTTGATAAGATTTAAAAAAGTATAATTGTATGATTTAGAGTTTTGACTTAATGAATCAAGATTTAGACAAATTGTTATTTAATCAAATATTTATATTGGAAAGGTAATTTTTTTTTTTTACTACACATGTTCTTCAATTTACATCAATCATATCTTTCATATATATATTTTTTATATCACTTAAACCCCTTTTTACATTCAAGTCGTTCATTAAAAAATAATTTAATAATTATAATAGCTTTTTCTATTTTATTTTTTTATTTTAATAGTTAATTTTATTTCATATGTGTTTCGTATCATTATACATTATATTGAACCTCCTTATGAAGCACTTGGTGGATTTGATGAAGACATAGATATAGCTTAGGTTGTGGGTGTGTAGATGATTAGGTTTTTAGTTTAAGCACTTAATCTCTTGATAGTCCATTATATTTTGTGATAAGCATCTTAAAACATTGCATCTCATTGAAAATCATTTTTTGCATGAAAAACTTACATTCAAGTATTAAAAGAACAAACTAAGTTTGTTTTAATCTGTTGAAAAAGATTTTCAATCTGTTAAAATCACTTAACAGAATAAGTGGTCATACATAATCGTATTTTCAATTGATTGATTCGCAGAATCAACAAGTTAAAATAACTTAGTGAATTTTTTCAAATATCATGGTTTCGCATTTTCAATCTGTTGAAATACTTTTCAATCTGTTGAAACAGAGAGGTTATTTTTCTGTTTAAAAGACTGCAGGATTTCAATCTGTTGAAATGATTTTCAATCGATTAAAACAGAGAGCTATCATTTTTTCTAAAGCTGTTTCAATCCATTGAAAACTCGAAACAATCGATTGAATGAACTTTTAAATGAAATCAATTGATTGAATCGTGGTTTCAATCGATTGAAATGTAATCTGATCGATCATAGTTTCATTCTGATCGATCATAACTCGGTCTGATCGATCATACTTCAGTTCTAATCGATCAGAGTCTCTTCTAACCTGTTATACTTCAAACTAATCGATCTTGTGACTCTCTGAAACAGTTTTTGACAGATGAAACGTTCTGATTCTTTGTTTTACTCTATATATACAGAATTGATCTATCTTTTGAAATATATACAACACACTACTTGAGAAAACTTGTGAAATCAATCTGTGAAACTTTCATATACGTGACTTTCTCTGCATTCAAGAATCTTTTCATATCATAAGGTGCTGTGATCAGAATTGTGGTCAATCAAAGAGAGAAAGTGCTTGTTAGAATTTGTTCTGGACAATTAGAACTTCAAGTCCAGGTTTTTTTCTTTTCATACTCTTTTGTAAAAGTTTGATTGTGCAGGTTGGATTGTGATCTGCACTTGGTACAGTAACTGGATTTTGTTACTGGGTGGTTTTCAAGATTCTATCTTGTGGGTTTGCGAGATAGTTCTTGGGGTAGATTGGTGAGTATCTACTGGTTGTAATTTTCACTTGGAATTAGTGGAACTTGACAGGTTTGTCAAGAACTGGATGTAGCTCTGGATTAGAGTGAACTAGTATAAATTTGTATGTTAAATTTCTTCTTTCATCTCTTTTATTTTCTGTCTATAAACTTGCTGTGTTTAAACCAAATTACCTTTGCAAAAATTGAATAAAGATAACTCATTCTTCCAAAAGAAAGTAAGTTTTGCGAAAAAGTTTTAAAGTTCAATTCACCCCCCTCTTAAACTCAACCATTAATTCTTTCACCTTATCATTACAAAATAGTTTTTGTGCATTCATTTTGCAAAATAAAAATATGTCACTATATTTTTCGTATTTCATTCAATATCTTTCAAACTTCTTTCGTCTCAAATTATTTTTTATTATTACAAAATTTTGTGTATCATAAATATATATATAAAAAAAACTAAAATTTTTAATACTACTAAGATTTTGTGTATAGTTAGTCGCTTTATCATCAAATTTGATTAATTAGTTGAATGTTGACTATATAATCTCTGGTTTATTCTTTAATCTAACACGTTTCATAAAATACTATACTCACTAATCACATGTCCTAAATCATACAGGTTTTTTACCCAAAACAATTATTTTATTACTCACCTAAGCTTCCACAAACAACTTTAATATCCAATCTTTTATAATATTTATCTATTCTTTTATATTTCTAATTTTGATCACCTTTTTTCACAATCATCCCATCTAACATTTTCACCATGCCCATGTTTTCAATAAAACATTCAGCACAAAGATAATGAAAAAGAAGTAGTGATCATACATTAAAGAATCATTGAAGATTCTTTCAAGTATTTGATAACAATTATTTTTATTGTCCCAATAATTAATAAAATACCTTCACAAATTATTATATACATATATATTGTGGTAATAATAATAATTACAAGGTAACTTAATTTTTACATGAATAATATATAAGTAAAAGTTTTGAGAATTAAAAATTATGTATAGTACTAACATTATTTATTTAAAAAAAATAGTTTAATTCAAATTATTGGTCAAGATTACTATAATTTCTAAAGATATATATGTAAATAGTTGATAAGTTAAGAGGCTAAGATGGAATAGTATAAAGATGTTAGATATGATTTTCTTTAAAATTCTGATAAATAAGAGTAATCATAGTTCTTATTTGTTAACCATATATATTGTTAATAACATAATATAATATAATATGTATTAGAGATATACATCCTTATCATGTATAATTACACAATAAAACAAAACAAGATTTATATTCATTTTTCTCAAAAAAATTTGGTGCTTAATCTCTATTATATTTAAATTGTTTTTGTTTAATCATGTAATATCCTTATTGTTGTCAACATAAAATTTTCAAACCTTTAATTATTCTTTTAAAAAAATATTCAACCTGTATTTTTATCGTAAAATAATAAAATAACAATGTTGATATTAATAAATAAATTATACGAGAATTTAAAATTATATAAACTATAATAAAGATAATGTTTTTATCCTTTATTTTTAATGAAACCACTTTGTTTATTTTTTAAATATTTTTATGTTGTTTAAATTGAGGATAAGGCTTAGTTTAGTAGATATGAAAAAAATAGAAAAGAAAGAAAGAGAAAAGAAAAAGAAAAAGAGAGAAGATAAATATTTATTTGGTTTAAAAAATTAAGTGACAAAGCAATAAAACAATATTAAATAGAAAAAGAATGTAGAAGTTTATGAGCTCAATCCATTAAAACAATTATCCAATTTTATGAAATTTAAATACAAATCAATCTTATAAACAATATATTAAAAAATATTTAATTAGAATTTTTATTATTTTTATTTATTTAAATAGATTTATGTGTTGTTTATATGTAACTTTTATTTCTTTTGTAATTTTTTTTATTTTTTCTCATAATTGTTTTTTTATTTGTTCACTTTGCTTATTCACTCCTTAGATTGTCTTTTGTATCTCACCTTTTATTATTCTATCTTCTTTCTTATTTGCTGTTTTAATTAAAACTACTATATTGAAGTTTAACAAAATTATATTAATATAAATTATTTAAAATTAATATTGGAACTAAAAAAATATAAACTAATTATTTAAAATTATAGTGGAAATAAATAATTTATTTATTGTGAGATAAAATAATTAATTTTAAATTATTTTATCATAATAAATCAATTACTCATTAAAAAACATCAAATGTTTATGAGTTAAATATGTTTTTTTAGTAATTTAATCTAGTTACAATTAAGCTGAGTTAGGAAGATTAATCATATTAGATAATTTAAAAAAATATTTATTAAAAAGTTACTTTAAAATAAATATATATTTTTTAATAATTATATAAAATATATTTTTTAATAATTTTAACTTTGTGATATTTCAAATTTATAATATAGTATTTTTTAAATATAATATATTAAATTATAGTATTTTTGGATAATTTAAGTATTTTTATTTTTAAAAATAATAAAATATCCATTTTATCAATTTTTAATTTAATATTTTTAATTACAAAAATAAAATGAGTAACAGGAGAAAGAATAAAGAAAACAAATACATGATAAAGAAAAATAAAAAATAAAAAAATAAATAGAGAAAAATAAATATATTATATAAAAAAATTATTTTTTATTATTAAATTTTATATACAATCACTAAATAATTTTATTATATAAAAAATATATTATTTAAGAAATTGATCCGTGTCAAAATTACAAATTTCCTTGCTATTTAACCACCAGTAAACTTTTATTATTTTTAGTGTTTTTATATTTTTTTATCATATTTATGTTCTGCAATTATTGTCATTTACAATGTTTAATGAAACATGATATTTGTCTTTTGTATAGGATGTTTCTTAAATGTATAAGCACAATATATTGGTATAAAACAAAAAAGAATTAAATTGATATATGGTGACAAATATGCCTGTGCAAGTTGATGAAGAAAAAGATTATATCACTGAACAATTTGGTGGTGAAGAACTAATTGTAAAATTATTCATATTTTATTAGTTTTTCATCAATTATTAATATTTTATATTTTAAATTCATGTAAATATTTAAGGGATTGAGATATGTAACAAATGTTATATACACTGTGTTTAGTAAAACAACTACTAATAATCAATTAGGTTATTCTAACCCAAAATGAACAGGTATTTTTTAATTCTTTTTTTAAGTTTTATTTATTTATATATGTATAACTTAATTATATATATATATATATATATATATATATATATATATACGAATTTCCGCATTAATTGTTTGTTAATATACACTTTGGTCACCATTTAAATATTTGACTGATTTAAAATAAGAAAATAAACAAATTAATAATAAAATTTGTCAAATTAAGATCTGATTGAAAAATGAGTAAAAGATGTAACTTTAATTCTAAAATAGACTATTAAACTCAAATAAAATAAATATATTTTACTTTTATTTTAATATTAAATATTTATCAATACATATTTATATTATATCATTACCTCCTTAAAGAGATGTTCAATGAGAAATTAAGACATTCTTAATTTTAAAATATAATAAATGGTAAAATTCATTAAATTAAATTTAGACAATGAAACATGCACAAATATGTGAAACCTCTTAGAAAAATCTGTAATTAAGTGAAGAGATTAAATATGTGAAACGACAATTAATAATGAAATATGTTATTCAAATTCGATAATGTTTGAACATGAGCTGAAACGATGTCGTTGAAGTATCTTAACCTAGTCACCTTGCTGAAACAATGTCGTCATAAGTCCACAACTTTCCTGTTTCGTCTTTGTCCATTGGACTATGTTGAAAACACAAACCCCGGTATTTGTGTAAACATAAAGCGCGTGAAGATCACCCGCATAAAACACGCGACAAAACAAGAAACGTCATCCCCGCACGCCATTCCACGCGAGTGGTACACAGTAACGTTTCAGTAAGAAAACAGGGACATAATTGGAAACCTAACAAAATCTAAGGGTATTATCGGAAACGAAAAGTAGCTCCCACAATATAAAAATCTTGGAACCCTAGGTTTTGTTATCACTCCCTGCTTCCTCGCTCTATTGCTCAGTCTGTGTCTCTACGGCTGAGAATTCTTACCGAGCCACCTTCTTTCTCGTCAAGGTAGCAGCCTCTGCTTCTTTGTCTCTTTTATTCGATTCATCTCTGTTGCTGGTCTATGATGAAATTTCTTCGGATTTTTTTAATTTTTTTTTTTAAATTGGATTCTCTTGTTTTGAAAGTGTTTGTGGTTTGGTTTATGTGTATTCTTTCCGGTCTTCTACCGATTAAGAAGAAGAGGTTATCATTTTGGCTTTGAACAACGATGTTTTTACAGATCTATTGTTGTTTTGTCATGATTGTGCAATTTTGTTTGTTTTATTTTTTTAAGTATGTTGTTTTAGTTTGCTTATTGTGGATATGTAAAAACTGAGCTATTATGGTTGATGTTCATTAACATGCAAAAGTGTCTATATATTTTTTAATTTGTTCTGTCTGAAGTTTTCAACCCATGCTACAAGTTTGCTATGTTGTAGGTAAATATATTTGGACCTTGCTGATGTTTCTTTGGTTATCCTTTTGTGATTTTTTTTCTTAAATATGAAGTTAAAATTTTTATGGTTTATAAAACTGTTTTTGTTTGTGCTTTTGAATACATCTGCTGAGTATTTTGTTTGTTACTACAGATTGGGTAGGATTGTGCTTGGCTTCACTGTTTCTGAAATTTCTTAGCTGCTACAGTTGTGGGGATTTAACTTTTTGCTTTTGACGAGTTGTATGTTGTTCTGTTTGTTTGAAAACATGTATATGCTGTGATGAATTTGTTCATCTAGTTGCAGATTCATTTGTATTTTAAAATTTTACTTTTTTTGGCCTAGTACTTTTGTAACTTAAATGTGTTGTTTTTATGAGTTCTGAACTGTGTTTCTTTGTATTAATTCCAGTTTAAGTCATCATGGGTAAGGAAAAGGTTCACATCAACATTGTGGTCATTGGACATGTCGACTCTGGGAAGTCAACTACCACTGGTCACTTGATCTACAAGCTTGGAGGTATTGACAAGCGTGTGATTGAAAGGTTTGAGAAGGAAGCTGCTGAGATGAACAAGAGGTCATTCAAGTATGCCTGGGTGCTGGACAAGCTCAAGGCTGAGCGTGAAAGAGGAATTACCATCGATATTGCTTTGTGGAAATTTGAAACCACCAAGTACTACTGCACAGTTATTGATGCCCCTGGACATCGTGACTTTATCAAGAACATGATCACTGGAACCTCCCAGGCTGATTGTGCTGTCCTTATTATTGATTCCACAACTGGTGGTTTTGAAGCCGGTATTTCAAAGGATGGGCAAACCCGTGAGCATGCTCTGCTCGCATTCACCCTTGGTGTGAAGCAGATGATCTGTTGCTGTAACAAGGTATAAATCTAATTTTTCATTGACTAAATTGATTTTATGTCCATAATGTCATTCCATTTGGAAAGTGCGCAAAATTTGTATTTTTAACTGTGGACTGTCATTGTTGCAGATGGATGCCACTACCCCGAAGTACTCCAAGGCTAGGTATGATGAAATCGTGAAGGAAGTTTCATCCTACTTGAAGAAGGTTGGTTACAACCCAGACAAGATTCCATTCGTTCCCATCTCTGGATTTGAGGGTGACAACATGATTGAGAGGTCCACCAACCTTGACTGGTACAAGGGACCAACTCTTCTTGAGGCTCTTGACCAAATCAATGAGCCCAAAAGACCCTCAGACAAGCCTCTCAGGCTTCCCTTGCAGGATGTCTACAAGATTGGTGGTATTGGTACCGTGCCAGTGGGACGTGTTGAGACCGGTGTCTTGAAGCCCGGTATGGTTGTGACCTTTGCTCCCTCAGGGTTGACAACTGAAGTTAAGTCTGTTGAAATGCACCACGAGGCTCTCCAAGAGGCTCTTCCAGGTGACAATGTTGGCTTCAACGTGAAGAACGTTGCAGTCAAGGATCTCAAGCGTGGTTTCGTTGCATCCAACTCCAAGGATGACCCTGCCAAGGAAGCTGCCAACTTCACATCCCAAGTCATTATCATGAACCACCCTGGCCAGATTGGAAACGGCTATGCACCAGTGCTTGATTGCCACACTTCCCACATTGCTGTCAAGTTCGCCGAACTTGTCACCAAGATCGACAGGCGTTCTGGTAAGGAGCTCGAGAAGGAGCCCAAATTTTTGAAGAATGGTGATGCAGGTTTCGTTAAGATGATCCCAACCAAACCCATGGTGGTTGAAACCTTCTCCGAGTATCCTCCCCTCGGTCGTTTTGCCGTGAGGGACATGCGTCAAACCGTGGCTGTGGGAGTCATCAAGAGTGTTGAGAAGAAAGACCCCACCGGAGCCAAGGTCACCAAGGCTGCCCAGAAGAAGAAGTGATTTCATTTGTTGGCATTTCTGCCACATGATCTTGTTACAAAAAAAAAACTTGCTTTTTATTGTAGTTTATCCTTGCAGAGTCTTAGGTGTTTGTTTTGCCGGTTATATTTTCATTGCAGTTGTTTCTGAGTACTGTTTTTTTGTTTCGATGTAAGAGTCTGAGATTTCCATTTTCACAAGCAGCCGGTTTTAGTCCTTTTCTTTTGCTGCTGAGAGATGCTTTAATTGCATTTAAATTATAAGAAATTTTGTCAACTGTTTATGGGTACCCTTCTGATATTAGTTGAAGTAATGTCAGTAATATTGGAATCTGTGATTGCAATTTACTATATAATTAAGAATGAATCCCAAGGCAAAAACATTCCAATAACGAATGTGTGGATCCGAGATAAATTCGCACAGCACTCCATGAAATTCCAAATTGAAGTTTGGATTCTTGTCAAGTAACTACATGTTTGATTGGAAAGGACAGTTAAAGAATAAAATTTCACGTCAATTCAGTGACTTGGATACAAAAGCTCCATTATGGAACCTTGGTCACGGCGTCGATTCGCCGCAGTTCCAAATGCATCACCTCGTTTGATATAATAAGTCGAATGTTAATATTTATTTACTGTTTTGGATACAGTGGAAGAAAGGTGAAGGGAAGAAAAACAAAGGAAAGAAAAGAAAAGAAAAGAAACTGTGGATTTGGAAATAAGACACGTACCTTTGAAATAATTAGGACCGGATGATAATTAACATTAATTAGATTTTTACAAGAGTTGTTATTTTTTATTTTTCAATAAAATTTTCAATTGTGTATAGAAAATTTACTTCGTCCCCCAGACAAGACAAAAATAGAAAACAAACTTGACTCATGCTTGTTAATTGGTGGTGAGATTAGTTTTTCAAAAAATAATGAATGAGTGAAGGAAAAAAGCAGTCGAACGCTATAATTTTCATTATCCTTCAGGGATTGTTATGAACAAAATTTAACTTCAACATCTCTTATACACTTACATTTGTTTTTATTTGAGTAATTTAACACCGAACTCAGCACCTCCATATCAAAATAAATATCACTCGAAATAAATATAAAATTTAAATGTAATTCAATTTTGTTTTTAAAAAATTTGAATAAAATCGAACCGGGGATTACAATAATAACTAATAATAAATATATATAATTACCAATAATATTATATTAAAAGTTTAATAATTAACATTAAATAAGTATAATTTATTGTATAAAATATTTTACTAATAAGACCATTCTACTTTTTATATCTTATTCTTATCCAAAAACTTCTCTATTGTATTTATATTCATAAGCATTGGAGTATAAATCCAATAAATTTCAAAGTAACAATCTTCCAAATCAATCTTTCTAAACTTAATCATTATTGTAATTTATATTCTCAAGAACATGCAATTTTTTTACCATATTTTTATTATAAATTTATGAAATATATTATAATAAAATAATTATTTAATAAATAAATATATTATAAAAATATCATGCATATTTAATTATAATATTTATAATTTCAATTTATATCTTTGTTTCCATATTCAATTTAAAAATAACAATATATGTTGTAAATTATAAAAACTAATTATAAAAATATTATTGTAAATTATAAAAACTTTATTGATTTTGGATTTTTTTCATTAGTGTTTGGATTTGCTGATATTTTGTTCACGGAAATGGAAAAGTGTAGATTCTTTGTATTTGTATCCACCAATTTGAAAAGAAGTGCGATGAAGTATTTGAGGAAAATTGTAGAAGAAGAGTCTCGTTACATCAAGAAGAAAAACGAACAAAGGCAAGGGAAGGAGGGTACAATGATCATGTTGCCCTCATCTATGTTTCTCATGTGAAGTGGAATTCCACAATTACAAACAAGAATCCTTCACTTGGTTTTGCATGCTTCCAAACATGACCGCGAATCTTTCAATGGTTGTGCATGCATCCTTTTTATGGTAGAGAATCATTGCAACTTAAGCAAATGCAATACATACAACTATTATTTTTATCTCAGTTTGAAGTCGCCATTAAATACGAGAGAGGAAGTAGTCATGGTCATGTATTGTTGGACATTCGTATGTGAAGGTGAGTTGTGGTGGTTTGGGGTGTGTGTGTGGTATGTGTCCGCGTAGAAAGTGCTTAAAAGTGGTTGATGGAGGTGGAGAGAATCGATTCTGAGTGAGAGAACCTATTCTTATTTTCTTTGAAGATGATTGTTGTAATAAAGTTTGAATATTATCTGCTTTATAGAGAGTTTGACACCTTTACTTGCTTCTTTCATCACATCAATTATGTCAAGTTTTGTCGCCGATTGCAATGTCATGAAAAACACTATGGATGAATATATAAATAGTTGTGTTTTGAATATGGATGCTAATTAGTTCCTACAAAAACTTATTGTGTTCTAAAATTGTACCTTAGTGTAAGATAAATGCATAAAGAGGAGCAAAATAATTGAATGAGAATAGATCATGGATTATTAAAACATAATCAATTATCATTAATTGGTATTATTAAATAAAAAATAAAAATTTCATCATTTACATTGATTTTTTTTTAATTCATAAATTGTGAATTAAGAAACTATTTTCGGCACCATGACATACACATAAAATACATAGATTATTTTTTTATATATCAAAATTTTGTTCTACTTTTCCTATAATGTATGATTAAATGATTAACTTTGTATTTTAAAATATATAAAAAACTAATGCCGTTTTAAAATTAAAAGAAATTAAATAAACTTTTGAAAAATAATTTCAATATTTTATAATTATTTTTAATTTTAGTACGTATCATTATTAAAATGTAATTTGTTTTTTTTAAATATAATTTAATTCATATATAAAAAAATTGTGTTTTAATAATAATATACAAAAATATATTTAAAATAAATGACTAATTTAAAACTTAGTTTTTAATTATTTATTTATTTTAAAGACTAAAAATATATTTTCTAACGACTATTCAACTATTCTTTCTATTTTTAACTGTAAAAAAAATGTTTTAATTTTCTTAACAGTTATTTAAAATAATCATCCAAAATTTATTTAAAATTAATTTTCATCAATTGTATTTTTTTAATATAATTTTATATATTTAAATTTTTTATTTTAAATAATAACTCATAATCTATTTTAATATAACTTACACTAATTATATTTTATTTTAAATAATTTTTTTAAGATAAAGATAAAATTATATTATAATTTTATCAATTAAAATATTTTTTTAATCTATCATAATTATATTTTATTTTAAATAACTTTTTAAGAAAAAAATTATATTATAATATTATCGATTAAAATATTTTTTTAATCTAATAATAGATTTTCATAAACTTTTCTCTATTTTTTTTTCTTTATTTTTCACTCATTTTTTCTTTAATTCAAACAATTTTTATTTTACTTTTATTTTTCGAAAAATTTCACTCGTTTCCACCTTCCAAATTGATTTTCAAGTGCAAACAGAATTTATAAGAAAATGCGAGTATGCGAACATTGCCAATACACTTTATTAGAATTTCAAAGTAAAAATACTTTCAGTAGAAGTAAAAAATTTAAACGTTTTTCAAATATTCTTAAATTATAGATAAAAATAGATGCAGCATGATGTTTCAAGCATTTTAAGAGTTAGATTAAATGTTAATTAGAAAACAATATTCAAAAATAATCTTCTTCACAAAATAATCTCAATGGTAAATAAATAAATAAATATATTTATATATATATATATATTATTTATTTTTTATAATAGTAAAAATATATTTTTATCATAATTTATTATTCATTGTTTTATCAGAAGATAAGAGGATAAAGGAGATTGTAGTAAAGAATAATAAAAGAAGAATCCCCTAGACATCCTTAGATTGTAACAAAATAAATTGTGTTTTTTTTTTTATTAATTTTTTACATATAATTTAGAAGTATTTGAATTTATATTTGATATCAAATTAATTTTTTCCTCAACAGTAGACTCTTTGAGATAAAGGAGTACTTTCAATTGTCACTTTATTTTTATGATGGAGATTTGTTTGCTTATTCATTATTTTGATAGTTAAAAAAATCATTTAATAATCTTGTAATTGAAATAATATTTATACCTTCAATTAAAATTAGAAAAGTAAAAATTATAATTAAACCTACCGATAATGTAATTAATTACAAAGAATGTGTGTACCAGGAATATATTATTCCTTAATTCCTCCTAGTAAAATTATAAACAACACGTAACATCTGTGCAGAAAAAAAAAAAAAACTTCTAACTTTAACCTAAAAAGAAAGAAAGAATCTAAAAGCAAAATATAAAGTGGGCTTTTTGGGCTTAACGATGTGCACTTGGGCTGTGCCTGGATCCATATCCACTCATTCCTATTCCTTTTGAAAGATGGTGATGGCTCAACCCATTTCATGATTTTCTTTTTCCCCATATTTATATCTTCTAAAAGGTATGTTTGTCTTATTTTATCAATAGAATATTTCAATAGCTATTTTTTATTAAATTGTTCTTTGATAAAATTTCCTTTTTTAATTTTTGTTTGTTATTCACTAAATGTAAATTCAACCATACCTTATTTAAAATGTTTAAATTACAAAAATTATACTTTGGCATTAAATTTATACTAATTTATCATTTATTATTTCATTTTAAAAATTACTAAATTAAAAACATATAATAGAAAGAAGAAATCTCTACTTTTCTTTCTCCAAAATCCAACTCAGTAATAAAACCTTTGTGAATTATGAAAAGATTGATGTTTTATACAAAATTCATTCATTCTTATCTAAAACCTTTTTTTTTTCAGAATATGTTTTTTCACCTCAATAAATAAAGAACTAGTTTCTTGAGAAACTTTGTTTTATAAACACTTCTAAAATGGGGGAAAAAATAATGTTAGTTTATACATGAACTAATTTGTAAAATTTATTTTTACTAGGTTTTCAAAAATTTGATTTTCAACTCATGAATAATTTCATTTAAACTTATT